GCTTTCTCTGAATTTTGACAACACCATGTACCAATCATCTCAATAATGTAAGCACATTGACTTCCAGAACACGATCTGAATGGTGAGGGTGGGGAGGGAGGCGGCAGGTAGAAGAGCAGAGGTCAAACAGAAGACAGGCTAGGTGGGTGAAGAACTGCATAATGACTAGTAGAAGAGGTTGAAGGTCTGGTGGTTCAGGTAGGTCACAGGTCAGGCAACGTATGGAGGCAGGTGGTTCAGACAGGTCACAGGTCAGGCAGGTGGCAAACAGCGATCAAGGAAGAAAAACAAGAAGAGGAAAGGGACAGAGATAGGAACATACAAGTACGGGGAAAGGAGAGAAAATTAGGAGCAAGTAAGGAGATGCAAGTGAGGAGGCTCAGGGCAGCTCCCCTCGTACCACAGCGATGACCTGAGCTGATTATCGGAGTGAATGTTTTTGGCATTTTTGACTTCTCTTCCTCCCCTGAACGAGAAAATAGTTTATTTTCACTTGCAAACTTCAAAATACATATTTTTCCCTCATGAAATCTGTAGGTTTTGTATGTGAAGAAGGCAAGGTGTCTGTTATGTAGCTGACAACTTGGAAGTGGTTGCCTATACAGACCTTACACCTGGCCATATCATTTTGCCTCCTCTCATTTGACCTCTGAACAATCCTGGGTGCTAGAGAGGGCAGGCAGCATCATCTCCATGGACTGATGAGCTCCTCCTGTGTGTGCGGCACCAGATGTCAAGTGCGGCCATGTTCCCAAGCCTGGCATGCTCTCAAGAAGCCCCGTCCTTCCTTCCAGTCCCTGGAGACCCAGCCTCCTTTCCGAGCCCTGAAATTTGGCCCTCCCCTTCTCCCTACTCACCTGGTATCCCTGGCAGCAGGGTAGGATGGAGGTTCTCGATCCTCTCTTTCTTCCTGCACAAGAAATAGTTCCTTTACTTTTTGTATTTTGTACCTCTTCACTCCAGAGAGCCAAATGAAGTATCAAAAATACCAACACACAGTGTACCTATGTTCAAGAAATGCCACTGTATTTGTATAACCTGTAGAAATAGGGTGGGGCTGGCACTTTCCTTGCATTTTCTCTGAGATCCTTCTCAGACTTCTCCCATGGATATTTCTCAGGTTCTTTTTACCACTACCAGAGCTTCCTCCCACCTCCTGATAGCCTTGGTCTCCTGGATGTTGGCTGTGGATGTGGACATGAGGAAGACTAGTCTAGTCTGCAGTATCTTAGGACATATTATTGACCCTGTGCTGTGTGCTGGGTGTTATAGGAGCAGGTTCAGCAGGCCCAGCTCAAAATAAACTGCGATAGAATTTCCATAGTTCTTCCATGGCTCAGTCTGCATGCCCTCCTCTATCATTGTATTACGTCACACTTCATGATATGCAATAAGTAATCAGGACAAGGGAGTTGATATCCTACAAAGATATCATGCCTCTAATCTGGAGATAGAGGTGGAGATAGCATACCTCTAATCTGGGGAGTTTTTGTCTGTAGGAATTTAATGTTGTGCCTATTTTGTGACATATAGCACCTGACCATTATTGGAATGGGAACAATTGGAATTGTCCCAGGTAGACCTGGGTGCCCTTCATGCTTGGCACCAAGAATCTCATAGAGTCATCTATGTCATTGGCAGATGAGATGACCACCAGAGCTGCAGGGAGTATACATATCAAATGCAGAAAGGGTGAAAGAAACCAGTTCAAAGGATTAGACTGTCATATATTACAAAAGGGGGTTGCAGCCATCTACCGGCATTCCTGTCCGTAGATAAGGAAAGATAGTATCTTAGAAAGCTGTGGTAGCATATAACCAGGACAGCCGGGATGCCAAGGGAGGCAGGTCACGGCATGTCTGAGATAGCTCTTCCATGCTTAATCTACCCAATTCGCTTTGAGTAGTCTCCCCAGACCTCCTTCCCCTTGATATTCCTTATCTTAGGACTTAGACTGTAGAGCAAATTGGAGCCTTTTTATTGAACACTACTGAACTACCAAGGAACATAGAAAAAAACAAACTTTTCTTTGGGGAGACAAAGGGCATTTATATTTAGCTTGTCTGCCTTTAAAATTGAGAATTAAGAATAGAACATATAAACTTTACTAAAACAGTGAAATAATAAGGGAAAAGCATTGGGAGAGAAGAGAAAGAGGTGATAAGAAAAAAACAGGAGAGGAAGAGAGAGAAGGTCGAGGAGAGCAGGCGAGGGCAAGGACAGAGGCTGAAGCGCAGAGTGTGGGAGGGGGGAGTTCATACAGAGAAGGGCTTAGACAGACAGGCCACAGTCAAGAGTGTGGCGTAGGCACCGGAGATCTGGATTCTTAACCTGTAAAAATCCCACATCACATATCATGCTTAGTTGGTGAAATATTGAAAGGATCCCCCGAGATCAGGAATGAGACTAGGATGGCTACTATTACTACTTCCATTTGACCTGGTCCTCCCGTACTTAGCTGGCAGAGTAAGGCTGAAAAACACATGCAGGGAAAGGAAGAAGTAAAACTTAACTAGTCACCGATGACATGATTTGTGTGCACAGAAATTCCCCGAGCGACTTCAGCAAGGTCTCTGGGTACAAGGTCAATCTACAAAAATCAATTGCATTTCTATGTGTGAGCACAAATAAAGGGAAATGGAAATTTACAAAGTGATGTGTTCAATTACATAAAAAACTTCAGATGCCTTACTGAGTTCGGGCCACAAGAACAACACTAACAGTCACGACACTGGGGGGCAGCAGCAGTAGCTGGGGGTCACTGAGTACCTGCCATGTGGCAGACAGTGTCCTAAACCTTTACCTGGATTCATTCTTGTCACCTTCACAACCACCCTTTAACATTTGTGATGAGGATTCAGTGAGGAAATGTACCTAAGACACTTAGCAAATTTCCTTGCATGTAATAAGTGCTCAATAATACGTAAGACCCCGTTGTTAATAGAACAAAGCTGCTATTTATTTAGTTTAAGATTTGTAGAACAGTCACACATTTTTGTTGTGTGGTTTTTTTTTTTTTTTAATTTTAAGCAGCTCATGAATTCATTTATTCAGCCAGGCACTGCTCCTGGATTTAGAAATACAGTGGGTAACAAAATAGGTAAAATCCATGCCCTAGTGGAGTTTACAATTTATGGGGAAAATAGAGATCCATCAAATGGTCTCACAACTATTAAAATACAGCAAAAAAAAAAAAAAAAGGAGTTAAAAGAATGTAAAAGGGAGGAATGGGGTCTGGGCCACAGAATGAAAAGAGGCTTTGATACAAAAAAATCAGAGGTGAGCTGAGTTTAGAAGGATGTAAGTGGTACAGGGGCAGGGATAGGAGAATGTTCCATGGAGGGGAAGCAGTCTGTTTGAAGGGGATGAAGGTTGTAGGTGAAAGGAGAGCTTGGCATGTTTCAGGGTTTGAAAAAAATGTCTGAGTGGCTGGAGCTCAGAGAATGGGAGGGTTGTTGTGTGAGTAGGACAGGGGATGGGCGGTCTTTTTCACAGTTGTCGTAAGAACGGTGGAGTGCACTGTGGGGCTTCATGCAAAGGAATGATGTGGTCAGATTTGTGTTTTGAAAATATTTCTCCACTGAGGAGGCTACTCCTGTAGTCTGGGAAAATACGGGAGTGTAACCCAGGCTTGGGCACCAGCAGTAGAGAGAGGAATTAGTGGGAAGATGTGTGAATTGTTTAAGGGGTAGAACTGATGAGGTTTGGAATTAGCTTGGGTGAGGGAGGAGGGATGCCCCACTAATGCTTCCCCTCCTAGCATCTGACTTGAACTGGGTGACTAGGAGTGACATTCACTGTGGTGAGGACAGCCTTTTCTTCACCATTAAATGGCTTTGCTAATTTTATAGTGAAACTTGAGAAGATATTTGAAGTATTTACTTTCCTGTGGAAATTTGAATATGTTACTCATAGGGAAAGGCTGAAGACACTGATTTTGGAAGCTTAGAGAGGTTTACTCTGTTTCCCCTTTGACTTTCAAAAGATGTCAAATTGTTCTATCTTTAGTCTTAAAAAAAAAAGGCAGGGATATCAAACTTCTAAATTCCTAAAGGTTACATTTAGAACCAGTCTCTCACTGTCCCCCCTCCATCAAATATATTTCTCCAATCTGAGAAACAGAGTGCATCCAGTGCAGAAATCTGTATGTCTTAACTTCTCTTCGTGAACCTTTAAGTCTCTTCTCCCTACATCACCAAGCAGTTAGACAGGAGAAAGTAATTCTTGGGGTTGGGAAGTTATGGCCTAATCCAGTGATTGTCTGGACTGGGTTATATTAAGACCTAGCTGCTCTGATGTTCTCTGCCTCCGGTTAGAAGGTCTTTGGCAGATCGAGTGGGGCTAGGAAAGACTTTCATATCTCTAGGTCAAAGCCTTCCCTTAATGCTAATGGTTCTGGAGTTGATCTGAACAGGCCTGTGAAAAGGGCCGAGTTGGCCCAGGTTCCCCAGGACTGATTGGGTCCCCTCGGGCCTTGGCATTACCTTAGAGAAGGCCTGAGGCAGATCAGAGTTTGAGCCTTCTGGACTTCCTTCCATTTTTATGTAGCAGAAACTAGCCCGCAGGAATGCCTGAAGGGATGAGAAAGCACTAGTGGTTTAGTCAGAGGGGAATGTGAAGTTGGAGGGCAGTCCCACAGTCTGATCCTTTGCCTAGGTACTGGATAGGGGGTGAGGCGTGTGGGCTGATGGTGGCTCTGTGTGTGTGTGTGTGTGTGTGTGTGTGTGTGTGGTCACTCTCCCACAGTTTCGTCTCTGTCTCACAAACACACATGCACATGAGTGTCCTCAGTCTGTGTCCGCCTCTCTGTCAGAGCCCAGCAGCCTCCTTGGCATAGGGGAGTGGGAATAGGACTTCATGTGTCGTCTGAGTTCCCTGCAGCTCCTAGACTCTGAGGCCAGAGTGAAATCTGAGCATGGGAGCTCTCTCGGGCTGCATCTCTCAACCCCTCCCCCATCCCCTGCCAAAAGCCTGACTCTGCCCTGTGTTCCTTCCTGCAGCATTCCACTTCAGTGAGCATCATGGGCTTTTCCAACACGCTGGAGATGGAGCTGTCATCTACCAGGCTGGCAAGGACCCTAGAGCCACAGATCCAGAGCGTGAGCAGCCTGACTGCTGCCCCTTCCCACATGGTCCCAAGCCTGCTGAGCGGCACACCCACAACTGTGTCCGGCCTGATGAGCGGTCAAAACCAGGCTATGCCCAGCCTGACAGTCAGTCATCTCCAGACCATACCCAGCCTCGTACGCAGCGTGCCCCAGCCCATGCCCGGTCTGATGAGTGATTCCTCCCAGGCCATCCCAAGCCTAGGAAGTAATCACTTGCCGGCCAGGCCCAACCCGATGTCCGGTCTCACCCAGACTGTGCCGAGTCTGGCGACTTGTCCTCTGCAGAGCATGCCTCCAGCAGCTGACATGCAACCGGAAAGTGGTTCCAGCTGCAGTCCAGGCTCTGGCCGAGCTGGAGGGAGCCTGTGCCCTGCAGATGGGGCTGACCCCTCTCTTGGGAATGCCCTGTGTAAGGTAAGTCCCGGGGAAATGACATTCAACTGCCTCTGCTCATCACTGGGCCACAGGGTGGCCCCTGAAGGGCTTATCCTGGCCTTAGCTTCATAGCTCTATGACTACTAACAGCAAAGCCGCTTGATTTCTTTGATTCTGGTTGGCCTTTCGCTTTTGAAAGATGGAAAGTGAGGATTCTACCCGCTTCACTGACTCTCTGGGACAAGACCCCACAACCCCGGGTCTGGAGGTTTCCAAGGATGTGGCTATGCCTGCAGAACTGGAGGAGCCAATTAACCTCTGTGTGAAGAAACCTCCACTGGCGCCAGCGGTCAGCACATCCATGGCTCTGCAGCAGTACCAGAACCCAAAAGGTGAGGCACAGGTCAGCGGAGCAGCCTGTCACCCGTGCTGGCCACAGACGTGAGCTCAGCACTGCCGGGTCAGATGCAGGTCAGGAGGCAGGCTCGGGGCAGGCGGGAGCAGCGTTTCTCTCAGGCTCAGTTCACTTCTTCCCTCCAGAACTGACTTACTGGGACCTCTTCTGTTTCCCTCACTGTGGCCGGGACTTAGCCTCATGTAACATTTCCATGCAAAGAGTTCTGGAGGTCTGGGTCAGAGGCGGGGGAAGCAGGAAGCACTCATCTCAGAAGGGCTAGCCTTGGCAAAATATTTTAGGGAAAAGAGCGTATCTGACTTTGGAGTCAGGTATATGTCACTTAGAAAACCAGTTCTGTCTTTTTATGTTTGACCTTTCTGAGCTGGTTTCCTTCTCTGTAGATGGGGCTAATCATAGCTACTTCATAGACCACCGGGACAAATAACTACAGTGAGATCACTTGCTAGTAGTAACGAGAATTGGCCTTGCTTTGCCTCGCGCCCGGCAGTCCTTTGGATTTGTGTTGTGCCCCAGAGTAAAGGGAATTTGGACCAGTGGACACTGGCTCTGATTCTCTTCTCAGCTACCCACACCACCTCCTCAAATGGGGCTTCCTTTCTTCTGTCATAGGCGAGGGCTCGTCGGGGAGTTTGAAAGCAACCACTGAGTGAGGATTTGGGACTTGTTCTGTTTAGTGTATGATACGTATTTAGTCCGTAATGACCACTCTATTTCCTATACCTTTAATAAACGAAAAGGAAATAATTTTTCTCCTTGTTTTTTCGCACTGACTGAAAGACCAACTGAACAATGATTGGTTCTTATTAACTGCATAGTAATGGGACCCTAAATTTTAAGCAATTAAATGTTTTGGACCCGGCTTGCCCATGGAAAGTGCCTAGGACAGTGCCGGTGCCGAGTGGGTGCTTGGTCAATGCTAGTTCCCTCCTTCCTCCGCACACCGCCTCCTGCCCATCTACACAGGCTCCACTGCACCACTCAGGGCAGGGCTGCAGGGAACCTTTTGCCTATGGAGTATGAACTAGACTCTCAGGCAGTACTAAAATCCCAGCACTGGGCTGAAAATGCAGAGGCTGGACAGAATGACAGCTGAGAGCAGGTAACACCAGTATATGGAGAACAAGAGATTTCTGAACTAATTTGAAGATGAGAAGCTGGCCCCTCAGCACCTGACCCAATACTCATCCCTAGATAGCCTCTGAGTATTATCTGTTTGTTTTTTTAAAATTTATTTTTAGGGGCGCCTGGGTGGCTCAGTTGGTTAAGCAACTGCCTTCGGCTCAGGTCATGATCCTGGAGTCCCGGGATCGAGTCCCACATCGGGCTCCCTGCTCAGCGAGGAGCCTGCTTCTCCCTCTGACCCTCCTCCCTCCCATGCTCTCTGTCTCTCATTCTCTCTGTCTCAAATAAATAAATAAATCTCTAAAAAAAATAAATAAAATAAAATAAAATTTATTTTTAACTTTTTAACTTCTTAAATATTTTTTTTTAAGATTTTATTTATTTATTTGACAGAGAGAGACACAGCGAGAGAGGGAACACAAGCAGGGGGAGTGGGAGAGGGAGAAGCAGGCTCCCCGCAGAGCAGGGAGCCCGATGTGGGACTCGATCCCAGGACCCTGGGATCATGACCTGAGCCGAAGGCAGTCGCTCAACCGACTGAGCCACCCAGGCGCCCAACTTCTTAAATATTTTTTAAGTTTTATTTATTTAAGTAATCTCTACATCCAACATGGGGCTTGAACTCACAACCCAGAGATCAAGAGTCGCATGTTCTTCAGACTGAGCCAGCCAGGCACCCCATATCTGTTTTTCTTTTTATTTATTTATTTATTTTTAAAGATTTTATTTATTCCCATTTGAAAGAGAGAAAGAGCACAAGTAAGGGAGGGAGGTGGTAGGGGAGAGGAAGAAGCAGGCTCCCCACTGAGCAGGGAGCCAAACGTGGGCTCGATCCCAGGACCCAGAGATCATGACCTGAGCCAAAGACAGATGCTTAACCATCTGAGCCACCCAGAGACCCCTCTGTTTGTCTTTTTAAATATTTTATTTATTTATTTGAGAGAGAGAGCGTGTGGGGGGGAAGGGCAGAGGAAAGGGAAATAGAGAATCCCAAGCAGACTCCCCACTGAGCGTGGAGCCTGACGTGGGGCTCAATCCCAGGACCCTGGGATCATGACGGGAGCCAAAACCAAGAGTCGGATGCTTAACCGACTGAGCCACCCAGGTGTCCCTGTTTGTCTTTTTAAAAGAAGGTGACCTTCTTCCCCTCTCAGGAAGGAGAGCCGTGGTAGGATGCCACCATTACGAATGATTACAGTGTGGGTAACAATTGTGTGACAGGTGTGTGGCCAACGGTATGAGTAGGACATATGAGTGGAAGGTATGGGTCATAAATGTACACAGGTATTTGTCTTTTGCCTTAGAGCATGAGAGTTTTGAGCAAGGAGCCCTGGAGCTGGATGCAAAAGAGAACCAGAGTATCAGGTAACAGGCTCTTGGCCCAATCTCCCTCTCTCACCCTCCAACTTCATGTCCTGGGAGGTTGGCACAGGAAGTCGGCATCCTTGATGACTTAACTAGAAGCAGAAGTTTACCTGCAACCATCTTCTTCAACTCCCAGACGCTCGAGTAGGATCTGTGTGGTTGGGAGTCTGGGATCTGGTGGGAGGGTATCCTGGCTCCTGCAGCAGGGGGCATGTACTCTGTGTGAGGTCCTCCCTCTTTAGGAATTCCCCTTTCTTTGAGCAAAGCGCTCCCCTGGGGCAGGAGAGTGAAACGTGGGCCAGCACAGGGTGGGACTGCGATCTGGAGTAGCGGCATGTGGGATCTTGGAGGAGCTGACTTAGAGGCTGGGGTCAGAGGAGGCTCCTCCAGAGACCCAGAGGTGTCTCTCTTGCCACAGGCCCTTCAGTAGTGAGCCTAAGATTCCCTACGTGCGGCTGGAGCGGCTCAAGATCTGTGCGGCCTCCTCAGGAGAGATGCCGGTGTTCAAGTTGAAGCCCCAGAAGAATGAGCAGGATGGGAGCTTCCTGCTGATCATTGAGTGCGGCACTGAGTCCTCCAGCATGTCCATTAAGGTACCACTCTGCTCTGTCTTGTCCTTGAACTTGGCCCACCCTGGAAGCCCCTCTTCTCTCTCTGCCTCTGTCAGAATTCCGGCTCTGGTGCTGGCCCTGTCCCGAGTCTGGTCTGCGTGGGGCTGCAGCCTGGCCAGACTTACCCCTGGCTGTGAGGGGGCTGTCCCAGCGTTCCTGGGGCTCGGCTGGCCCGGGGGCCTGGTGAGTCCATCCTCTCCCACCCTCCACAACTTGTTGGTGCTGTGCTCTGACTGCCGACTCCCTTCTTCTCCAAGGTCAGCCAGAACAACCTGCCTAATGCCGTCCAGGCCCCAAGTCTGGGGGGAAGAAAGGTCACTGTCACTTCTCTGGCTGGGCAGCAGCCCCCAGGGGCGGAAGGCGCATCTCCTGAGGAACAAAGACTCATTCCTCGGACCCCTGGAGCCAAGAAGGGGCCCCCAGTACCCATAGAGAACGAGGACTTCTGCGCCGTGTGCCTCAATGGGGGGGAGTTGCTGTGCTGTGATCGCTGCCCCAAAGTGTTCCACCTCTCCTGCCACCTGCCAGCCTTGCTCGGCTTCCCGGGGTGAGCCGTGAGGGTCCTCGCAGGGCGCTTTTCCAGGAGGCCTCTCCCAGGCCCGCGCAGCTCCCTGGGCTGGGCTTCCTGCCCGGTCTGGGCCCCTGTGAACTGCAGGCTGGGAGTCAGTGGCCCCACTGCTTTGTGCCTTGTGCGCACCGACAGGCAATGTTTGAGATTTGAGTGGCTTCCTTTCTTCCTCTGTTCCCAGCTTCCTCCTACACACACAGATTTGTCCCCATACTCCAGTCGCAGCCCCTTGCTGAGTCCTGTGATTTTCTGGATTCACCCCATCCCGAGTTACTGAATTTCTTTCAAGCTGGTGGTTAGGAAGCCATTCCTTACAGGGCAGGGCTAGGGACG